TCATGCCTTCTGCACATCAGCCAGATCCATAGTGGAGCAACGGATGAAATTTCTGAGAAGAGAATAATCTTTGACAATGAGAACTATGGTTCTCGGGTATTCAATCATTTGGGGCTTCTCATTTTGAAGAAACTCGCTCGTGACCAAGATATCTGTGGAAAAATTGGTAACTCGAGGGGTCTCCTACCGAAGATTATTGACTTCATGCATGCTGAAGAGAGCGTGTTGACAGATTCAACAGCTGCACACCCTCAAATTTTAACTTTGAAACGATCTCTGCAGGTTCTCAAGATGCTAGCTGGAACAGCAGGTGCTGCAGGAAGTCAACAAAGAAAAAGGATTTCTGAGGTTGTTTTCACAATTAGCTATATCCGTGATATACTAAGGTATGGAAAAAAGCATCCCAAGCTGCAAATATTGGCGATCGAAGTCTTGACTAGCCTTGCGATAGAAAAGGATGCAACGGAGAGGATTGGGAGTACAGGCGGAGTTCTTAAAGAATTGTTCAACATTTTCTTCAACGAGGAGATGCCAGAAAATTGGAGTCATGTAAGAGTCTCAGCGGGGGAAGCACTATCTATGCTAGTACTTGAAAGTAAGAATGATTGTCAGCGTATTATGAAGTTGAGGATGAATCAGAAGCTCGTTAAAGCATTGGAATCTCCATTGCTTCGAATAAATGCAGCTAGAATTATAAGAAACTTATGCGCATATAGGGGAGAAGATTGCTTCGAACAATTAAAGGGACTCACTGATGCAGGACCGGCAGTAAGTTTTCATATCAAGACCCTGTTTTCTAAAGTTTTAACATCTGAATCCTCAAGAGACCTTGGAACGAAAGAAATATTTATAACTTTTCCCATTTTCAGGTCCTTAAAGCTATCAAGGACGAAGAAAACAAATTGCTCGAAGTAATGGTTGGAGTTGCAGCATGCATTTTCAAATTTATTACAGCTCAAGAAGCCAGCAATATGTTTAAGAGAGCTCAATTTCCAGAATCCGATCTGGCCTACAAACTTGTCCAAATTCTGAAGAATTATCAGTATCCCTCAATAAAAGTCCCAAACATGAGAAGATATGCAATAGAGTTAGCAATTTGGATGATGAAAGATAATGAAGCGAACATCTTAACTTTTGCGAGACTGGGAATACAAAGTGAACTGGAGTCCATATTGGACACCATGTCCGAGCTGGAGAATTTCAATATCTTTTCCGGGACTGTTGGCCTGTGCCGGCACAGCACAACAATTCATACGCTAGTTGAAATGGCCATGAAGCTGCTGTCGGAGAAGTAAAGATATAAACTAGGTCGCACGGACACTTCAATTAGAACATTGTGTCCATATCTGATAGCGACACTCTTCGGATACTCTACGTTGATCATTTTTCTTTATTTATAATAAATATTAGATATTTGTAATTCAAAGTTATTATTGAATAACAAACATGTACTCATATTTAAAAAATATCCACAAAAAAATTAATAACAAATATAAATCTATACTATATAAATCAAGAATTTTAAAGAATATTATTGATGTATCGGCAAGATGTCGTGTCAATATTTTTTTGAAAAAATTGCGCATTGACAATATTTTTTTGAAAATCACATGTGGACTTATCCGACACATATTGTGGGCATACGCGTCCGTGTCCATATCCGTGCATCACAGAACATAGAAATCCCAATTTGATCAAGAATTTATGGCCAGTGGATACGTGTTAAAACATTGTTTTTATTGTATATTGTGGATTATTTTTCAGATTTGCTCCAGTAATGCATTAGCAGTAAAGCTGTTATTTAGAACCATCAGTTCACGAGGCCCGGTTCCTTTTTGGGATCGAGTGATTCATCCTTCCTGGAAGCAACATCTTAATCTCTGTTTTATCTCACTCTCCAAGTGCTTAATTTTGGATATGATTATCAATCTGATACCTCAATGATACTCACAGGACTTTCAATCGGTCTTTTCTAGAATTCCTTAGCACACCACAGAGAGATTTTTCCCTTATAGATAAGCAAGACAAAATAAGGTAGATCTTCAAATAGCTAGTTGTAGAGTTTAAAGTGTAGTATACAAAAGATTATTACAATTACAATGCGGAATAATAAACTCTCAAAGTGTAAAACCGAACCAAAACAACCCAAAGCTTCTTCAACACCACCAATGAAGTGTTCTTGATGTTGAACTCAGTTTTGTGCCACACCGGATCATGCACCGTCGTCCACGGGAATGACAATGGATATATCGAGATAAGATCTGCCGGAAGCCACCAAAAATTTCGCCGAAGTTCTGGAAAGCTCCTACTCGGTTACCTCTCTATGCTCTCTCTCAAATGTTATGCAAATTCCAAAAATGATAGAATGAAAATGTCATAATTAGAGAGCCAATTCATTTGAATTCAAAATTCAAATATTGTACTATAGTCAACAAGAGAGTGACAACACTAGTCTAGATAATTGACCAGAAGATTAAATCCTAGTTGGATTTAATCTTATATTACTCCATAATTAGCATAATCCGAGTCACATTCTCTAGACCAAACAACTTGCACCAATAATAGTATGTGATCCATCTTTCACTAGTTTAAGAAAGTAAAGTAACTTCCGTCATTTTTCATCTTGAATTGATCAAAGCCAAAAGTATGATGAATAGAAGGAAAGGAGAGAAGGCCCTTCTATCTACTATCAGTAGAAGTAACCGTATCATCTTCCTAGTTGAATGAGAATAACCCATTTAGTCTTTTATCAAACTCCTAACAATAGAAATGGGGATTAAGACTACCCTATTCACAAAAGATATACCTTTTAAATACATAACCTCCAGTTGAATGCAGGGACGGATCTAGGATTGGATCCACGATCGGGCTACAAAATTTTAAACCGGACTACTACGTGAAAAAAAAAATTTTTACACATAAAAAACTGATTTTTTACCCAAAAAAAATAAAAAATACCTTAAAAAAAAAATCTTGGACCTGGGGGG